CCTCCACAGATCTGCATAGGCTTCGGTACCCATCAAAAGGGCACAGAACCCTTGGGTTTACCCTTGAGGGTGTTCTTATGCTTACAAGGGCCAGAAGGCCACTTCAATACCATGAAGGGAGTGATAGCTGTTGACGGCCCCCCTGCCCATTTTTGCAGAGCTGTGAATGAATTCCAGGGTCCCCATATGCTGGGCAAGTGCTCTGCCATTGAGCTACCTCTCCAGCTCCATAGGCAATCCTAATGTGCCACCGAGTAAGACTGCATCACGTGGTCACCAACCAAGAGAGCAAGATGACCTGAGGGCTTGGCTCAGCACCCGTTCACTCTTGAAAACGTCGTCAGACAGGAAGCCCAGACTGAAAGCCCTTCATTTGTACTGGTGCCGGGCTACCCGGTAGCTTTTGTAAAATTGATGAATTTTGTCTAAAGGCAAGTGCAGACAGGCAAACAGATATGTATCTGTTGTGATCCATTTTAGCCGACACATGTGTTGGGGGTTAGCTGCTTCACCTCGATTCTTTCAGGACTGATGAAAAGTAAATGTGAGCAAAGTCATGCACTGCGTCATTGGAAAAGAATCACCGAGTCTCATGGTGGGAGTTAATTAATGCCTCCCTCCCCCGAAGCGGGCTGACCCTCGTCCTTAGGCTCCGAGTTAATAAACAATTGCTGTACACAGGCCATCCGTTTAGAAGGTGAGGCAGGAATGTTTTTAAGCAAATCTGAAATTGCCAGGGGTGACCTAATCCCGCTGCGGTAATGGCAGTGTGAAGGAATCATTTTTCATACGCTCTCATTTATAAGAAGTTCCAGGCCATCTGCTGAGAGGAAAAAAAAAAAGGGAAGCCTTGAAGAGCAATTGGGATAAATATGTGCTGGTGGCATTCTATTCCTCTTAAGCAAACTGTAGCTAGCTGTGCGCGCCTTCTTGGTGACTGCTGGATATTTTGGTTGGGGCGTCATTGGTTATAGTAGCGGACAAGCGCCGAGTGATTACTGGGATGTGATGGGACCCTCTGACCCTGTGAGAATGCAGGGATGTGGCACAGCCACGTGCTAGCTCACTTCTCCCGTCTTCCCGCACTACAAAGACTGGATCTCAGAGCGGTTAGCCATTTGCCTTAGTCATGAAGCTCTAACTGTGATGCCAGGAAGCTGCGTTCATAACAGCTGGCACTTCCTGAAGATTTGTGCATGCCCGGCACTGCCTGTGGCACTTTACAAACATGTGAACTTGCCCAGTCTTCCTGACCTGCTCAGGCAGTAGTCACGTTACTATGTTGAAAGGGTGGGCGGCCTTGGGGTCACGAATACCCAACTGGTGCAGACCCAGGAAGTTTGCGCCCAGAAGACTCTACTGTCACTCAGGTTGGGAAATCAGATGCCGACTGGATAGACGGGGATGTGTGCAAAGGAAACCAGCTTCCAGCATTGGATCCACCGGAAAGAACCTGTGTCGGCAAGGTTCCGGAGGGAGAGCGAACCACGCAGTAAGAAAGGAGGAGGTGAGGGTAGAGGATAATGGATGTGGCTACTTCGGGCCTTGGGAGGACAATTCTACCTTATTATTGTACATACGACAGACCTAGGAGTGGCCCTTCAGCCCCTTTCCTGGGCTTGCCAGCACGCTCTGGAGGCTGCCCAAATCTATCCGGGCGTCTCAGGGCAGCAAGCTTGCTGCCAACCACCGAGAACAGCCTCCCGAACGCCCGAATGCTGGGGCGGCCCTGAGTGCCCTCAGCCCCTTTCAGAAGTCATTAATAGCCGCTGCTTCTCCGTCCTCTCCGAGCACCTGACTCTCCGTGGCTCTCCCAGCAGTCTCGGTGGCAGACACGACAACCCGCCCGCACCGTCCTCCCTCTTTATGGTTGTCAAATTGATTTCACCACCTCGATACCTATGGCTCCCAATGAAACTTAATTAAAAATACCATTTAATCACAGAGTAACAAAGGCAAACTGGATAAACGGCATTACCACTTCAGCGCCTTTTAATCCGCGCCGCTTCGCTCCATCTGAACCTGTTTGGATGAGAATTGCCTTTTCAAATCAGAATCCCCTTGTCTTCCATGCACTCGCCTCTGACAGATCCACAGAATAAACAGTATTTAGTGTGGCATGGATCCAAATGTATGCAATTTGCCCAGTGGTGAAAATCAGCCTTAACTAGAGCAGGAAAAAAAAGTTGCGCTGGAAAATACCTTCCCTGGAAACACACAAAGCCTGTGCCCCAGCATTAGGGTGGGCTCATGCAATCTCACTTCTGGCACCCCTCCATTCACTTAGTGATGAACCCGGAAGCTTATTACTAAAATTGTGTCACAGGCCATGCCATGACCCCACTCCTTTCTGCCTAGAAAAATATCAGGCAGGAGGCTGCTGGTAAGAGCAGGAATGGATGGGCTGTTTGTCGTGGGCGCCACTTGGCCTGGACCCGGCACACCAGACATGGCTGCTTGCATCCTTCTAACCACACGGAATTTCTGGCTGCCAAGATGCTCCCTGGAACTGAGCCTGTTCCTCCCCATGATCCTTAGGATCCAGGCATTAGTCAAGAGTGATGGTTGAGAGCATGAACTATCTCACTCAGTAGGTCCCCACCCACCTGCCCTTGGAAAATCCTCCACGTTTCCCAGGGAATGTTGTTTCCGTATCTGCTCTAATGGGGACAGTAGGACTCTCCTGGTTTTCTCTGCATGGGCCACAAGAGCCCTTTCCCTTCCTTGAGGCCATCTTTCCAAGGGCCACCCCCAGCCTTGGAGTCTTTGTCACTGCTATCTCTTCTGGAAAGGTCTTTCCTACTGGCCCCTCCATAGTCTATCAGTTCTCTTGTTGTTGTCCACTGGTTCCCCTCCATGCCCCACCTGGTTGTTTCCATTCCACACACAAGCATTCACAACTATCTTGTCACACAGTTTTGGTTTCTTGCCTGTCTCCTAACAACAGTATAAATTCCTAAGTGGGTCACTCTGTGGCCTGGGCCTCCATGGCCGAGCCCCTGGCAGACAGAGACTGGTGGCAGTATCTGACCCAGGGCTCCCTACACTGCTGGAGTCTGGAAAGAGGAAGGCCAGCGCCCCAAGTGTAACGCTTCTCTTAGGCCACTTTTCTCAAGTGGACTATAACCTGTCTGCCAGGATGGGTCGGTAGGAGAGTGGTGGGAGCAACTGCAGGATGTGAGAACCATCCCATCCATGCAGCAGAGCGGCTCCCACCCCACCGGTGTGTGAGGAGGAAGGCACAGACACGCTTCAGTTTCTCGTCTTTTGGTTCTTTATTGTGTATGAACGGATGCGCACAGCACAGCAGTACAAGCAGACCATGAACACAGCTCAACAGGAGGAACACGTACTGAGAACTCAACACTACTGAGCAAGCAGGTTTAGAAAGCACTGCTGGGGAGCACGCTTACAAAATGGGGACAGAGAGCACAGAGGTCACAGACACTGCCACGCCCCTGCCATAGGAGTATGGAGACCCAGGAGCTCCTAGGTGTCCTGACTTCAAAACAGGATGCAGACATTTTTATTTTATGTGGAGTCTTCCAATTTTTAATTTTGGCACCTAATGAATGAGAGACAAAGAAGAAATATCGTGGAGCCTACTAAACCATAGGTCTGGGTGTGGGGCGGGCAGCCTGTGAGAGCTGAAGCACCTTCCCCCTTAGAGGTCATTTCAGCCTTGCCAGCGCCCTGTGAGGATATACCTCATGTTTCTACTGATGAGGAAGTTGTGGCTCAGGGACAAAAGGGAACACATCAAGGTCTGAGAGGCCCAGGTCCCCGGTACCAGGAAATTCTAGATGCTTGTGAATTTCAGCTTCTGTGGCTAACTCTTTGGCAGAAAGGCACCTCAAACGGAATCCTGGCTGCAGTGAAAGCACTACTGTTGTATACCCTTCCATATACAGAAGGTCCGGACCGATACAAGAAAATCATGGGCCGAGGGAAGGGGCTGACTACTGTCAACATTTCTGGGGCCACTGAAAGGCCTCGCTCAGGTCGGCAGAGAAAGATGTGGGCCATGAGACACAGACGGCAGAGGACTGCTGAGGGGAATGAACACAGCTACTGCCAGGTCAGCTCACACAGCACTAACACATACTGGGTGCTTAGCGGTATGCTGGAAATTGCTCTAGGCCTGTAGCTCAGTCATGTCACTTAATCTTCACATTAGGAGTTGGTACTTTTCACATCTCCCACCATACAGATGAGAAAACTGAGACACAGGACATGCAAAGGTCACAGAGTTGCGGGGTGTGTGTGTGTGTGTGTGTGTGTGTCAATCCTGACACTCTGAAAACAGAGTTCAGGCTTAACATCTCTCCGATGCTCTGGCATCATTGAGATGAGAAACTGGGCCCTGCAAACCCCATGCCACCTGTCAGTATCCGGGAATGGGGGAATTCTAGGAGAAACACCAACTGGCCTCTGTCATTGGATCAGGGAAGCCCCATCAAGACAGGACGTGGCTGTTTCCTTTGTCCCTCCTTCCTCTTCCTCTGTGTGGTGCACAGGGCTCATAGTCAGGCCCTCACTGATTTTTTTTTTTCTCTGAGGGGGAAAGAGGTTCCTGTCCAGCGACTGCTTTTTGTTGCTTTCCTCCATGGCAACAGCTGCTACACTGGGAATTGGGAATGGCGGCTCATAAACCTGAAACACTGGAAACAGCACCTGCTGGGGCAGCCGAAGAATGGATTCTTAACTACAGTCAAGCTGAATTTAGGTCTGTAGCCACAGTGAGCAGTGGCTGCCATCTTGGATGACCCAAATGCTAGAAAACCATGATGAGAAGCTGAGAGAGATGTCTCCAGTTCTGGAGTCCATGGCTGGGTCTACTCCCAATCTATGAGGTGGCTAGCCAAAGAGGAAAGCATTCCTGTTGCTGCCTTGGGGACAAAAGTGCTCCCAAGGAAAAAAAAAAAAAAAGAGTGGTGTCAATTTTTTTTAAGGGGGGGGGGTCTAATTTAACATCAAATCAGACTAAAACACAGTAACTCTTTAACATTTCAGTATTTGTGGGCTTTATTCTCTAGCTGTTTTGAACTGGAACCCAGATCCTATAACCTACAGGTTGAAAAGAGTATATACTACCCTTCTCCGAGGTTTCGGGAGGAAAGCCAAGAATGTTTTCCTTCTCCACCTAAGGCTTGAGCTTCTTCTAGGGTTTTGCTTCCAGAAGCTGGCCTCTGAGCTCTGAAACCACGTCTGTGAGGTCGAAAGGCAGAGGCATGGAAGGGTCATCCTTCTCCCAGTATGGCCGGCAGTCTGGCTTCTGATTTGCTGGTAAGGTCCGGACGACTCGGGACTGACACCTAGGAGAGGAAGAACAGGCAGTTAATCCCCTGGAGGAGAGCACTGGGAGTTCCAGGCCTCTGGGAAACAGCTCTGGCCAAAGCTCCAACAACAGCTGGGAAGGTGAAGGTGCAGGGGGAGCAGAGTTACAGGGCGGGAAGAGCACATTTCCGAGGGAAAACCGTCCCTCAGAGTGCCGGAGCTGCAGGTTTTTCCAATTCCCAGATCTGTATTATCTCCAGTGGCTTCAGAAAAGCCAATCACCAGGGAAATTGAGTTACTCTGCCTTTAAAATGGTGAATTATTTTTTCATTATCTCAACAGTTATTTAAAGTGTGTGATTAAGCCATTATCAGATTTAAATGTTTGTGGGATTTCGATGTATTACTAGATTACTGGGAAAGATTAAATTGAATTTACTGCATTAAAACGTCCAAGAATAGATTAAACAATATTACAGACCAGGATTGACTTTGGAGATCCTGGAGATTTACAAGTGTCCCAGCTTGCTGGGCTCAGAAAAAAGGCACTCCAAGGAGAGAGAGGTTTATAAGGATATATGCAAATAGAGGTTAATAATCATTTCCACTGATGAATAGGTGGGGAAACTTCCACAAAATTAAATTAAGAGGCTAGCAAGAGTTAGTCCCCAAGGAAAACACTTAAATCACGGTTTTTATTAAATGGATTATTCATCAATAGTACAGAAATTAATTATCATATGCAGCTAAATTATAGCCTGGTAGAAAAAAGTTGGGGCGACATCCTCACATCTCTGAGGCACCACCCTCTTAGAGAGCCGAGCTCATCAAAAATTGGGCTTGGGAAACACTTTGGCTTCAGTTCTAGTTATCTGAAGAATGAGAGTCATCGAAAAGGGCATGGATGGGACAGGTAATGAATGAGTTCTTATAGGCAGAGCACAGGCACCAAACCTGTGTCTGCGACACTGTGCAAAGTCCCCTCCCCCTCTGCTGTCAGTTGAGTGGCCACGCCCACTCCAAGTCATAGGACTGGGTAAGATCCTCATGGAAAGACATATCTCTCTGGGGGATTATTAATGGGGAGGGGATTCCCAGGGGAAAGCATACTTCAACTTTACACCTATTTTCGCATGTGGTTAATTGCTATACCGGCATCCTATGCACTCAATCCGTCGTACATTACATGTAACATTCCAATATATCTTCAGCTCTCCGCATCAGAGCCTGATAATAGTGTGTGTTAACATGCACTAACTACTATTATGGAGCACATCACTTCATAAATAATAAGATTAGCTGACCTCGGGGCCCCAAGAAGAGTAATGTGTTTAAATGTTCTCATTATTTATTTAAAACAAGAATTAAGGCAACAGAAGCAGATTCTGACAATCCTCTTAGCATAAATATTCAACTGTTTGCGCTGATAAGCACACACATGGTGGAAGGGCAGAGGGCGTGCTCGGTAGCCTATTTCATAATAGGTGCTGGAGCCCACCCGCTCGCTGTTGCCCTTTTCAGGGTGCATCTCTGCCGTTCCTGTGACAGTCTCTAAATCACTTGAAGAAGACGAGGGGGAAATTAATATTCAAGGGAAGCTGCGACTAATTACAAAGGGACCCAGCAAAGCTTTTTAAATTGTGCTTTCTCTCGGCCCCAGAATCGCAGAGTAATGCTCAATTTACTGGGTAGGGAAAGTTATTCCAAATTGAGCATTTCAATCTCACAGTGGATAAATTATCCGTGCACATATTATCCTGGTTGGCAGATTAAAGGGCTGTGATAAGTGTCGATCCACCTAGAATATCATGAGGTTTGTAAAAAGTCAATAGAGATGCTTTCTCAGCTGTCAAATGGTTTTGCCTCTTCGCTTTGAGAAGAGTATTAAAAATGTTCAGACCCAAGACAGAGCTGTGTGCACAAGTGGCCCAAGAGCACTCACTGGCCGTCCTTCTGGGAGAGCCCCTTCCCGGCTCGCTGCCACTATTCCCACCAAGGATGGCTGGGAGGAAGCCACCTGGTTCATACGGACCCTGGCTTGGAGGGGCTGGGACACGAAGCTTTGTTGAGTTTCTCGGGGTCCAATTCAGGTGTTTTAAGATTGCTGTAATAGTCTTTTCTCAATGGCCAGGGCTCCTTGTTAATTTCCAAATGCCAGTGAGAGACTAAGCAGAGTTTTGTGTTTGAGAAGGGACCCCGGCCCCACCTCTAGCACACAATCTGGTTCTGTGTTATGCCACAGTGTGGAAGGGCTGAGGATGCTCAGCTGTTACTGAACTTCTTGCTTGCATCATCCTGTCTACAGGGGTCTTGGTGTCCTTAGGAGGCAGTAAGAAGATGGCAGCATCTCTGGAGAGATGCTGGTTCTGGGGGACACATCGCCTGGGCAGTCCTTTATCGTATGGAGCTGTGGGTTCTCGTCTGTCTAGTGGTGATGACAGGAATAAGAATAATGACAGTGATGCAGTAGTCCCTGCTGTCCGTGCATTCGTTTTCAGCTACCCACAGTCAATCAATAGAAAATTCCAGAGATGATTTGCAAGTTTTGAATTGTGCGTGATTCTGAGCAGTGTGATGGGATCCTGTGGCCCACCCGGGATGTGAGTCACCCGTGTCCCTTGTAACCATGCGAGGACACTGTACGAGCTACCTGGTCCACATTGCCATGACCTGGAGTCACTGGGAGTAAACGGTCCTCCTGACGTAATGTCAGGGCAACAGCAGCCCGAGGCTGTATCATTGTCACCCACCTCAGCTCACCTCCTCACTGTAGGCACGTGAAGCACTAGCCTCAGGGTGAATGGAGCAGAAGGTATTTTGAGGACAACTCAAATTCATCTAATTTCTTTTGCAGCAGACTGTTAAAATGGTTCTGTTTTATTAGTTACTGGTGCTCATCTTTGTGTGTGTGTGTGTGTCTGTGCAGGTGTGTGTGCGTGCACCTATCTTTAAATTAGACTTTATTCTAAGCATGTATGCCCAACAAAAAAAATAAATAAATAGTATTATCAGTCATTATTTCAAGCATGCCTGAGGAATCTGGGAAAATATTCCGTTCAGGTTGGCCTGTGGGTGTGTAGTGCGTGTGTGCGTGTGCGTGCGCGTGCACACATGCCGAAGTGATAACACTGATTTATGGGTTTGCTGGGACTGAGTGAATGAATGGAGACAGTGTTTGGAAGACCGCCCACTACCCAGTAACTATTAACTCTCACCACTCTCATTAATTCTACCGCTGAGTGCCAGTCAGAGACAAGAGATGCCGCCCGCATCCTGCCTTTTGTGGGTGGCTCTCTCTTTTCAAAGTCCCTCAGTGGGGGCCTCTGGACGGCTTCTCTAGGGGAAGCTCAGTAGCTCTGGCATAGGTCTTTCTGCTTTGAATGGAACGGCCTGTGGCTGAATCTTGTCGCAAGTCAATCCTAAGACACAAGGCTTACCCAGTCAAGCTGCGGCAACTTTGCAGTGGCAGACTATCATGGACAGACTCAAAAAGACTGGCAGCTACCAACCCACACCAAGAAAGGTCTCTGTATCAGGCCTTCTGGGTGGTGGCTGAGTCACGTGCACTTAGCAAACACAGGAACCCATGTGGGGTTGTTTCTTTGCTTTTGTACCCTTTACCCTACAGTCCCAAGCATAACAGAGGGACTCCAAGTGTCTTAAGATGTACTTTAGAAATGCAAAGCGTGCGGTCAGAGGGGCTACTCTCAGTCAGAGGAGATGGTTAGGAGAGGCATGTAATTCCCGCTGGACGAAGAGGTTTGATGCAGGAGCTGAGGGAAAATACTGTCTCCTCTCTGGGTCTGGGCAAGCCTGGCCTCCCATGGTTATTTTACTTCCTTGCCACCAGAGGCAGGGTGCTAATCCCTACTGTCAGCTGGGGAAGGCTCACTTGAGCTAAGTCTCTGCAGACTGCATTTTCTCAAGCTTTTATTGTCTGTGGTAGTTTTTGTTTTGTTTCATTTTGTTTTGTTACTTGCAACCCAAAGAATCCTGATGACACCAGCCATTCTTCCCACTCAGCCACTACTCACATTTTACAAGATCCATGTCCTGGTTCTACTATGCGTCCACGCAGCTGTGGATTCTGTGCAGCAGGCACGCAGACTATCTGCCTGTGAATTTATGAACTCAAGGGCTTCTGCTAGGAAATAGCCAGTTATCCTGGCCAGAGCTGAATGATCTTTCCAGAAGGTCTAAAAGACCCCATTCAACTAGTGCTCTTCCTAGCTCTTACTGTCCCTAGTTCCCCAGCATGAAAGCCACAGCTCCCCCTTCCAACATCCATTCTTATATCCTAAGGGGAAACTCCATTTTTAGATGCTTCTGGAGTTAGCAAGTAAACATGCGTCTCCTTCAAAAGTCCTGCCCCTCTCTTGAAACACTTCAAGGGAGAAAACAACAGTAACAAAAACAACAAAACTCAACCAACCAAACAAACAAAAACCCCCAAACCCCAAAATCTATAAGCCCTTCATCCCTCTTTCCCAAATTCACCTGACTTCTATTCAAATGACTCCATGGGCCACCCTCAAACTCTTTGCTATTCAGGAATGGTTCTCCCTGAAGGACCCGGTATGAGTGCAGGAAGCTGGCTGGTCCAGAGGCCTCACAGCCCCCACCTTGAGGTGTAACTCACTGATTTCCCCCAGGGCTTCACTTACATCTGGGTGATCAAGATGGCAGCTACATTAGTGAACACTGGCCACCATGCTAAAATTAACCACTTTAGCTAAAGTGTGTGTTAATTATGGGTATGCAAGCAGTCAATAAAGGTTAATGCAAAAGTCAGGGGATAAATTTCTTCCCTTATCGCGTCACTTCACAGACTAAATGACTAACATTATACTTTGTGTTTTTAATCAATAGGTTTTACAGTAATGTGCTGGACATTGATTTTAAGAAAACACATATGGTCTTCTTTCTTGTCCCTAAATTTTGCAACAAATAAAGAAGGACAGGTAACATTTCCGATACTCTCCAGACAATGATACAGTTTCAGGACAAATAGTTTCTGCTAATAGACTCATGAGGATGGA